ATTGAATATACACAAAAGGCAATCCAGAGAGTACAGCCTACAGTAGAGATCCTAACGTCAGGCAGGCTCATATGAGTGTGTGAAGATATTTAACTCTGTCAGAGTTTAATACTTTCACTTTAGATTGATTCTGGAAACAAATAAGCAGCCAATATAACTGCTGTAGGATTGCTGCACTGTGCTCTGACCATCTCCCCATATTTTGCGCCTTGTGAGAGAAGAGCTGTAATAGTTTGGTCTGGGTGTAGCTGGTGCACAGGCCAAATCTGCCTCTTTCAGACAGAACCATAGATTGTGAAAAGTTGCTACTGGACGCCAGCACCACCTGGGCATCCAGGAGCAAAGAAAGGTGCTTCTAGATCCAGTACATGGCATACTTAATAATTTCAGGGGGATCACAACCTAATCTGAGACAGGATGCACAGCTCTTTGCAGACTAGCAGAACTTCCAGCAGCAATTCTCTGGATTAAATTTCAGTTTGTTCACTGAAGTTGAGCTGGGCAGGATGTGGTAGATAGTTTCCCCTTGCTAGCTGAAAATATGGCAGGACTTGAAATGATGTGGCAAAGTTAGCAGCCATCATATTGATAACCTTACCCAGCTTCTAGCGGTAATGAAAGCAAGGGAGGTAACTGTTGTGGGAGGCTACTTTAAGTTGGAAAAGACTGAGATAATTGGGTTTCCCCCTCTTATCCTTCCCCAAAGGCAAAGAGAGTTCAAGTTTGAACACTCCAGGAAAGAGCCTGTGGGGAAGAGTATTAGGAGATGACAGGAGATAACTGTGACCACAAGAGGGCAATCCTGTCTAGGCAATCTGGTTTAGAGAGTTGGGGGTTTGTAAAAATGCTGGAAGGCAACTAGTTAAATAAATAAAAACAGCTAACTCTTGATGGTTAAGAGATTTGGGCTTGCACTTTGAGAGTGGCTATATAATAGCTGGACGCGGGTGGCGCTGTGGGTAAAACCACAGTGCCTAGGACTTGCCGATCGTATGGTCGGCGGTTCGAATTCCCTGCAGCGGGGTGAGCTCCCGTCTTTCGGTCCCAGCTCCTGCCCACCTAGCAGTTCGAAAGCACCATTTAAAAAAGTGCAAGTAGATAAATAGGTACCGCTTTATAGCGGGAAGGTAAACGGCGTTCCGTGTGCTGCTCTGGTGCAGGCTCGCCAGAGCAGCGATGTCACACTGGGCATGTGACCCGGAAGTGTCTGCGGACGGCGCCGGCTCCCGGCCTCTAGAGTGAGATGAGCGCACAACCCTAGAGTCTGACAAGACTGGCCCGTACGGACAGGGGTACCTTTACCTTTACCTTTATATAATAGCTATTCTGCATTGGCCTTCTTGCTTACCAAAACTACTTCTGCACACTGACTCGGAGGTTTGCATCCCCATCCAGCCATGAAGCTCACTAGGTGACCTTGGGGCAGACACAGCCTCTTAGTCTAACTCTAACCTACCTCACAGGGTTTTTGTGAGGAGCTCCTTGAAAGAAATGTGGTATATAAATGAATTCAAGTAGAGCTTGAATGCTGAACCTGGTTCCTTCACATGGAGTACAACTCAATCTAAAGAAGAGAGTGTTACTCAATCTCAAGTCAGGTTGTATACCCAGACATCAGTCAGGTTTATCATAGCTAACATAACTTTTGTCTTGTATGAATTAGGTAAGTTTTTGTTGCTTTGGCCCATATCTTTTTCTTCACAGTTTTAGAACTTCTCTCCATCAAATTCCTGGAAGACTATAAAAGAGTGAGCAAGATGTGCCATGGTCATACTGACCTCTTCCATTAGTTTTTTATTTTTATTTTTTAATTTTAATTTTATTAATTTCAATTCATTACACAGACATTCAAACAACAGATAAAAGAGAAAAACATACCAAACACAGAAAAAAGAAAAAAAAGAAATTTCATAACAAAAAACACCGACAAATTAAACTTACAATAAATGACTTCCCTTCATCTCTGGTTTCGGAGTATGATACAAAATATTGTAATCTGCAGTTTCGTTTTCTTAAATCTCTTTGCGTCACAGGCGTAATTTCTAGCCTACTGTGATTTTTAAGTTTTTAACCTCTAGTTCAATATATGACATAAATTTATTCCATTCATCATTAAACTTTGTGGTCTTTTGGTTTCTTATTTTCTGTGTCATTTCTGCCAATTCTATATAATCAAACAATTTAGATTGCCACTCCCTTATAGTTGGGATTTTCGATGTTTTCCAGTTTTGTGCTATAAGTGTTCTAGCGGCTACTGTAGCATATTGGAAAAGTGTTTGGTCTTCCTTTTTAATTTCTTCTCCAACTATCCCCAAAAGGAAGGCGTCTGGTCTCTTTTTAAAGGTGTATTTAAATATCTTTTTTAGTTCATTGTATATGGATTCCCAAAAAATTTTAATCACCTCACAGGACCACCACATATGATAGTAATTACCCTCCTTAATTTTGCATTTCCAACATGATTTGTCTACATTCTTGTACATTTTTCCTAATCTAACAGGTGTGATATGCCACCTGTACATCATTTTATACATATTTTCTCTAAGTGTTGTACAAGCCGAGAACTTCATACCTATATTCCAAAGTTTCTTCCACTTTTCAAACTCTATATTATATCCAAAGTCTATTGCCCATTTCACCATTACATCTTTTACTTCTTCATCTATGGTGTCCCATTCCAATAGCTGACTGTACATTTTTGATAGGAGTTTTGTCTCGTTTTCTAGTATTTCTATCTGGAATCTAGATTTTTTTTCACTCATCCCATTCTTTTTGTCTTCGGTCCACATAGCATTTATTTGATGGTATTGGATCCAACCTGTCAGTTTGTTCTTTATCTCTTCGTATAGTCTGATCTTCCATCCGTTTTCTGTTTTTACTAACAGATCTTCGTATGTCCATCTTTTCCCTTCGATATTGGTTTGCTTTACTGTTAGAATATCGATTGGTGATAACCACCATGGGGTATTTCTTTCCAATAACTTTTTATTTCTCTCCCATACTTCCAACTCTTCCATTAGTTTAATTAGGGTTGCCATGTTTCAAATATGGTTGAGATTTTTATTTTTGCCAAAGTTGCTGAGCTGTGTATGTAGGTCAGTAACAAGGATAAGAACCCCGGTACCTGGCTGGAAGGCACATTGGAAGGGATAATTGGTCTCTTCATTTAGAAACTTACTCAACAGGGTCACCATTACTTGTGTGACAAACTTAGATTCCCATATGGGAGCTAATTGTTCTAAATAATAGTCTAACCTCTGCTTCCTTCAGATTTAGATTGAAGGATTCATTTCAAGGATGCATGAAGACAAACTATTCTGCTAGTTGACCTAATAAACTAGAATAGAGTTCATCTTTTTAATACTGTGTAGTAATGATGCTCCCTGTATATATGCAATGATTCTAGCAAGCTGATAGTCATTTCTTAGTTGCCAGACCAGGTTTTCAGTTGCTATGGTGATTTTCCAGCATTCAATTCTCTGGTAGATGAAGTCAGTGTTACTCAGCTTTATATTTTAAACTTAGTTCTCTCAATTTTAAAGTGTTTCCAACCACAGTCATGTAAATGATTTCATATTTCAGATCACAAAATGTTGCTTCCATTGAGATGAAGTTAAAGGCTCTTGTTCAAAATACGGCTTGTGGATTGTGAACGTTATCTTTAAGTTACTTTGCAGACATATAGTGAATTTTTTTGAGTTAAATGCTGTTAAGCATGAATGCATTTTGCTTTTAAGAACTACTTGGGATGGAAGTTGGCATGATCATGCAAGTCTCTTTCAGTTTCAGTGGAGAAGTTTAGTGTCCTGTCTTATCAAGTGGTGCAAGAGGATGTAAAGTTTCTGGTACCTGTTATTATAACATCCCTGCTTTATTCAAACCTTTGCTACTGTTTTAAATGACCACTTTCCTCCCTTCTCATGCCCATGGTGTAGACACTGGTATTGTACAATCTGCTTTCTCACCCTGACTTAACAAATCTAGAATTGTGATGAGGCACTACAAATCTTCCAGTGGGGCTTTGTGTGCACATGTGTATGTGTGATAAGAAATTACAACTCTACTATGTACATCAAATAATTCCATGTCAATAGTTATGTAAGGGAACATAAACAGTAAGGGCACTTAAAATCATTTCAAATTAGATCTAATGTTGTCTTGAAATTTTGTGTTCTAGTAGTTATTAGATTTATGAAAGGATGGGATTTATAATCAGCTCAACTCTCTTTATGTGTTACAGAGTATGTTAATTTTGTTAGAAAAGATATAATCCATATTTTTCTACACCACTGGTGTACATTAGATCTGGTATAACCAGAGATTTCCAGTTAATTGCTATTTCTAGCTTTGCTGCTGCAAATAATGTCATCATAATCTCAACATCTGTCTCCTTCAAAGCACCTTTTATGCAGGCAGAAAACATGGGTTCAAAGCTGTATTGTATCAATTGCTATCATTTAAGCCACGGTTTAGTGGTATGTGGATGAGCCTCAGCAACTACCTTTCTCTTGCCACTTGGTGGGGATTAGTACTTTTGCCAAATTTACTTCTGGTTTCAAAGAATCACAGATTAGCATTATGTGCAAACCAAGAAACAAACAATGGGGAAGGGTGCCCAGGGGAGGAATGCATTGCAGCAGAGAGGGAGAAAATCCATTGTGCAAGCCAAAGTCTGTTGCATGAGCAGAGCAGATCTTCCCTGAACACAGAAGTAGTCTGCAAATGTGTGTAGGTACCAGTATCCCAGGAAAGTATGGTAATGTTCAAATTTCTGTCATCTGTACTAAACTTTTTATTGTAATACATCAAGCAAATCATTGCTAAAATTCCGGATAAAGGTAGTAATTTTGCTATGAGAAATTGCAATTAATAGCAGCTAAACTTTCACAATGGTAAAATACATGTGGACTCAATGATAACACAAATTTTCACACAAGAATAATGTGTGATGCAGAATGACTCATATTTTGTTCTCTTTCTACTTTTTTTTTCACATTCAGGTGCCTTAGCTGGACCAAAAGTTGATCCACGTGTGAGAGCAGTATGGGGGAAGAGTGTTACACTGAAATGCATAATTGATATAAATGAAACATTAACACAGATTACATGGGAGAAAATGCATGGAAAGACTCCACAGACTATTGCTGTACATCATCCTGATTATGGATTTTCCGTTCAAGGAGAATATCAAGGAAGAGTATTTCTTAAGAATGCCTCACTTACAGATGCATCAATCATCCTAACAAATATTACCTTCTCTGATTCTGGAGAATATGTATGCAAAGCAGCTACGTTTCCTCTAGGAAGTTCCCAGTCATCAACAACTGTAACTGTATTGGGTATGCTTATTTTTTATTTATTTTGTAGACATTCTACCTACATGTTTGAAGATCAGTATTAAAACTGGAGTTTGCAATATGTGTTCCAGCACAAGAATTGTCACTTTTGTTTCAATACTTCTTGGAAGTCCTTGCTTTGTTTAGAAAATTAACTAACTAAAGCAGTGGAGATTCAACCTGGTAAAACAGTTATCTTCCTGGTCTTTTGGCTATTTCATACCTCATTGTGTTTCAGTTAAGGTGGATTTTTTCTTCCATTGATTAAAGTTTATGCTCCTTGTAAACCACATTGGAATCATTCTTGAAAAAAGTATAATATATACCTAAATATATCTAGATAAACTGGTTCGGCATTATGAAAATGGTAATGCCCAATGAGGTTTCCTGAAAGACCATTTGATTACCGTTCCTGTCTTCCCTTACAGTGGAGAGCTGCAAAAGAGGGCATTGCATGGGTGCTGTGGACCAATAATAGTATCAGTATACAGTGGTACCTCTGGATGCGAACGGGATCCGTTCCAGGATGTTCGCATCCTGAGTAGAACGTAACATGCAACTGCGCGGGTCGCGTTTTGCCGCTTCTGCGCATGCGTGATCTCATTTTGAGCGTCTGCGCATGCCTGAGTGGCAAAACCCAGAAGTTATGCACTCTGTTACTTCCGGGTTGCCACAGAGCGCAACCCAAAAATACTTAACATGAAGCTACTTCAACCTGAGGTATGACTGTATGTACTGTTTCCATGTATATTTGCTTCCATGTATACTAGCTATCTCAAAACAATTTAAGTCAAATCTAATGGGCTTTGTTCATTCATTTTAAACTGGTTTCATGGCCTCTGACTGATTTTTTGTTTGTTTATAATTATTGCCTCTTAGTTTATATTTTTAATTCTATTTTACTGTATTATAGTTTAGCTCATTGACTTGGAATACCTCAGGATGAAGGGCTGTTTAGACATTTTAAAAATATATAAATACTTCTAGCCCCTTGGTAGCAAATTGTCTACTGAGCTGATGATTTGCCATTACTTGGTGATATTTTCACACATGCTCACTAGGGGGAACGTGACCTTGTAGCTTCTTCAATGAATAGAGAAAATATGTTTTATTCTCTGACGTATTTGTCTAGAATAGTTTTAGTTAGCTAGGTATTCCCTTGATTTAGGTTTGAATGCTATTGTCTGGAAATGGAACGTTCAGTTGGATTGTATTACAAAATTCTTTGAGTGTGCGAAGTTGCAGCATATTAGTATTGTATCTTAGGAACATAAGAAGCTGCTTTATACCATGTCAAACTATTCTTCTATTTAGCTTAGTATTGTCTTCACTGACTGGTGGCAGCTCCTCAAGGTTTCAAGCAGGAGCCTTTCCTAGCTCTGCCTGGAGATGCTGAGGATTGAACCTGGCATCTTCTGCATGCAAGACAGATTCCCCACCCTGATCTTCCTTTAAAAAAACCCCTTCCTTTTTAAAGAGTTAATTGGTGAAAGTCTTATCCTATATATTCAGTGATATACTCTAGACCAGCTCCAGGAAAATTATTTGATTTTCTCCTTTAGAAGCCAGCCTAATTAGGTACATTAATGTATATTATACTTGTTCCTATTACTGTATTTACCTTGAGAATAGCTCCTGTGATACCGTAGAAACCTGGCATAAGGCATATTCCTCAATTTCTATTTTATGTGAATGTGACTAACCCATTAAAACTTTCTATGCTGTAACTGTACTGTGTGATAACTAACTTTAGCCCCTCTACATGCACTCTCTTAAAATAACTGTTGGACAATTTCCTTGTACTGTCCTTCCCATATTTATTAGTTGCTTACTTACATTCCAGCTTTCCCTAAGTTGGAATTCAAGGTGACTTGCAACATTTTAAAAGACAATAAACAAAAAAAACTATAAACTAATTAAAACAAACTAGTTAAAAACAAATAATTAAGATACATCAGAATACATTTAGAACCAGGAATTAAAATACATTTTGTCCTGACAGTAGACTATTGATCAGCATCATCTGTGCCTTAAGTTTTCAAAGGCCTGTCTTAGTAGAAAGGACTTAGCCTGCTGATGGATAACAAAGATGGAGCAACCACAGAAAAGACTGTGTCATGTGCCACCAGCACCAATGCTTCTAATGTTGATGGAGCTCAGAGGAAGTTATCACTTGAGGATTTTAGTACATAGGCAGTTTCATATAAGGAGGTTTTTCAGGTAGCCTGGGCCCAAAAGCTGCATAGGCTCTTGACAAGGTTGCTGGTGGCGAAGTTAGAAGTGTGTCCTTGTTGTTTTTATAAGTCCTTAACAATTTTTTTTCTTTGTTTACAGAATGTTATAAAATATAAGGAATTGGTTCTAGCAGTTCTTGTAATTTGTTCTGGTAAAATATGCTTCTCCTTGAGAAGGCGCTTGATCTTAACCAAAATGAAGCATCCTCATCATATGCTTCCTTTTTTACCTTTGTGCACAGCAACAAAATGTTTTTTCTCTCTCTTTAGAAAGCTTAATTCTTGGCAAAATGTGGCCTTCACAAAATAGCAACAGCATTCTACATAATGCTGTATACCCTCTTAGCATTGTTGTGGTAACATTTGTGATATATGGTTTGCTGTTTGATGCCTGCCTCCACCAGTAGATTCTTATATTGATCAGAGGACAACACATTTCTGAAATGACCCAGAACATAGAATATGTTCCTATGAGTGCACTGCTGCTGCCACAGGAACTTTCCCTGGTGACTATAACATCAACAGTTGTTGGTGTGTTTGGAAAACATTAAGACTTGCTCTGCAGTGTGAATAGGCAGAGCCTGCATGGTTTCTATCAATATTATTTTAAATGTTAACTTCAGTATTTTGCAAATATGGGGAGATTGTTTATTTATGTTTAACCCCTTTGTTTGCAAATGTTGAAATTTAAATAATTATTTCTGGTAAGCTAAAGCTAGCTGGACAAAGCTGTGTTATGGGATATTCTTTGTTATAAGATTAGAATTTAGAAGGCAACTTCCAAAATAGGGGTGAAATGAAGTAACTACAGACAGCTTAGATAAAACAGTGATCTTCTAGGAGGAGTCCGCAGCAAGTGTTAACAAGGTTCGCATTCTATGCAGCTTCAGATGTATAGTAATTTGGATCTTGATTTCTGCATTTTACAGGTTTTTCCTTTAGATAGTAATAAAATGCCCTGCCTTTAATTCTGATCCTATTAATGAAGGCATTTTCATAGAAGAAAAATAATGGTCAGTGCAATTTAAATACTGGAAATTCTCCATCCTGTTCCTTTTACTGGTCATATTACCAAGTGCTAATTCCCACACCCTATACCCATGCCCACCATCTTTGTGGGATAAGGAAGGGACAGGCTTTTTAAAGTTTATACCTCCTTGATGTATGTTTCTGTAATAGTGCATCACACCCAAGGGCAGTTTCTTACAAGTATTAGATTAGACAGTGATGATTATTATTTCATATAACTTGGCTGCAACCTTTCACAAGCAGATTGACTTAAGAGTTAGGTCTGACCCCCGCCTGGATTTATCTGTAAAATATTAGCCTCTAAACCCATTATATCAGTGAAGATCCACATGAGACAGTCTCCAAGTTAAGACCTGGCAGGGCAGACAGTAGTCCTAGTTGCATGTAAATCTATTCAAGGGTAAATGTCTAGTCATCCCAAGGTACATTGCAAATAAGTACTTCATTTAGACATTATTACTTTGCTCAAGGAGGAAATAATATCAGGATGAGGTTGTGAATTTTAATAGTGGTTTCCAAAGAAAATAGCTGCTGTGGACAAGTCTTCAGACCATTTCCTGCCTATTCTTGGTTGATATGACCTCTTGGAACATTGCAAAGAAGTGCCTACATGAAGCAGAGTCTATCAGTCTATGATCTACTCTGTCATTTTTCCAGTCACTGAAAAGAAGTAATACATGGTCCATCTCTTCTTAAGCCCTTTACTCACCCTATCATTCATTTTGGAAAGACATTGACTAAATACATTTTCACTTGGTTTCCATTACTAAGTTGACCAAACTTATTTCAAAGTTTTGAAATCTTCTCCCCCAGTAATCCTTCAGGTTTAGTCAGTTGATTTATTAATATTGAAAATAGATTATTTACTTTGATCTTTATGTTTGTCTTTCTCAAAATCCAAATTCATTCAGTAACTAACTTAGTCTTTTTTCTTAATCCTGTATCAGTTCTGAATCTAATGTTCCTAATTTTATCCTTCCTAGTTTCTCTTATCACACAAAATTTATCAACAACTCTTATCTATATATCATAATGTTCAGATTAACATATTTAGAACAAACGGGAGAAAAATGATTATTTTTGCATAGAGCATAATATATAAGGCATTGCACACAAGCGCTCATAAAACATGCATTGGACAAAATTTATTGTGATTGGAACAAACCTTGGCAAGTTGTGTTTTTCACTCTCCTCTCTGCAGTCTTCTCATGTGCAGCTGCAAAGAGTTAAGCTTCATTTTCTGTTCTTGATTAACCCTAATTTACGTTGCACACATTTGACAAATTGAGGTTCATCTTAAATCATGGGTTATGAAGCTGCTTACCTACAGTGTGGACATAGCCCAATACTGTGGTTAATCCAAAATTCAAAACCAAAGCAGAAAAGCTCTGGCAGAAAAGAAGAGGGACGGATGGGAGTGGACAAGGTTCATCTATGGCAAGTTGAGAAATGGTGTGATGAGTCAAGTACTGTTTCTCTGAAACACTTGTGGCTTGTTTTTTTGTCCTTAAAATTCAAATGAGTTAAAATGGAAGAATGGGTGCAAGTTTCCTCTGTTGGAACTGTTGGGTAGTTGATTCTAAGATGAAAACTTGCCCTTTGTGCTTTATATCCTCTGGGGTGATGGGGCGGTGTGGCAGGAAGAGGAGAGGGAAGCAGGGACTTGTATAACTAGCACTAGGAAAGATCAATAAGTGGTCCACTGAAACGTCCAGCAATTTTCAGGTGAAAATTGTTCGGAAATCCCTGCTGTTTAGGATTGAGCAGCATGCGACGAGCACTGTCACTTGACTGGGACCATCATTTTGTTTTCAGATATCTAGTAGTGTGAAGAAAGACTTGTAGTTTAGCTAGCATGACTGAGAAATTAAAACAGCAGTTATTCAGTGCCCAGAGTGTAAAGGACAATATTTTCTTGCTCAAGTAGTTTACTGTAGGCTAAGAATTTCTGCTACTTCATGAGAACTATCTTTCAGTCTTTCTCTGCAACAATAAATGTTAGAAACCCATATTTAATCTTTGCAGTAGTAATTCACGGGAAGCCAAATATTAACATACAGGGGTGGGTATGTTAGGTTAGGTTAACCAGTTTAGGTTAACCTATGCGTTAACCTGTTCCACTGATACTGACAGTAGCAGAAAGAAAAACTCCAGTGAACACAGTGCTGGGGAGGGTGCACTGCTATGATGGTGATGTAAACCATTTCCTCCCTGGTTGTTGGGTTGATCATTAGAATGGGGTGTGCCTGTTTCTGTGCCTTGTGTGTTTATGAGCTGTATGCATGGTGGAGAGGGAGGAGTGTACCCACAATCACTGCTTTGTAGTAGAATTCTATATAGTAGATTTATGAAACACAGACTATCTAGAACATCCTGAGTATTCTATCATAATTTTAACTATTTATGTAGATAACAAATTAAATGGCGCCATACTTCATGGTCTAAGCAAAAAAGTAGTATTATCTAACTTTGTTTCAGAATTAGCCTGTGCAAATAGCCTTTTCCCAAATTTCTTACAATTACCCCTTCATTGCAGCCACCTGAACAACACCACTGCATTGTGGGGCAAAGTGTTTAAGGGGGAGGCAGTGGGGATGGGGGTGGAAGGAAGGCTTACTGACTGTGTAAACTTTCCTCTCTGGTTAAAATCTTTACTTTTAAATGGGTTTATTTAGGAAATGTATACCCCATTCTTCCAGTGGAATCTCAGGTGGGTTTACAACAAAGGAAAATAACAATTCTGTTAAATCGACCATTTAAAAATGGGTGTTTGGTTGAACTTCCTAAAATGAGGTCTTTTGCATAAAAAACAAAGTGCTTGGTAAAACTGAAAAGATCTAACCTTCTGGCAGAAAGCAGAAGGGGGCGGGCGGAGGGTGGGAAACAAATCTCATCAGGTAAGTTATTCCACAGTCTGATAGCTATGGAAAACAATCTCTCTCACCTCAATCATGCTTCTGCTACAGGCAGACCTAGGAGAAAGGCCTGTCCACAAATATGTTAGGAACAGTGTAGGCTGGTAAGGAAGGTATCTTGGACCCACACAGTTTAGGACTAAAGGTAAGCACCAATACTTTGAATGCTACCTGGAAACATTAACAACTAGTGCAGCTGTTGGTTGAACACTCAGAAATACCCTTCCTGTATTATCGACCAACTGAAGTTTCTTAAGATTCTTTCAGGTAGCCTAGTGTAAAAGTACACCTGTTTAGGAATGGACATATCACTATTTGCATTCAGATGCAAAGCTGGAAACGGGAATACCCCCAAATTGCAACACTGATTTTTGGGGGCAGGAGTTACACTCCAATCCAGAATAGACTGTATCCCGGGGGAGGGGGTGTGGTCTAACTAGGAGCATTATTGTCTTGATTCTGGGCATCAACAATTTTTCTAATGTCTGATGAAAATAAGAATAAGTGTACCCTTAAATTGCACACTGTTGACAAAATGTACTAAATCCCTAAATCCAGAAGCTCCATGTAGATATTGAAATAGCATGGAGGACTAGACTAAACCCTTAGGTACACTATTTGCCAGTAGCCAAGGCATAGTATAAGAGTCCTCTAGTTTTATTTGAATGAACTGTGGAACTTGCTATGAATAAACTATGGAACTGTAACAGAACTCTGCATGTCTTGACTCTGGCAATAGGTTTAACTGTTTAAGTGGGCAGTAACAGTTTGTCTTTATTAATGTTAATATTTATCTTCAGATATTCCCATTGGAATGTACTATATCCTCATATTTCTTATAAAAAATGTGACATTTTCAATTCAAGGTGGCTGTACTGATCTGATTAGGAACTGAGCTATTATGATACTGTGTCTAGTTACCTGACAGAAGAAAGCCCTATTGAACTGTACAGAATAGGTTTGCACTGCTCACCTACTTGTTGTTTACTGGCTGACTAATTATTCAGGTAGGCAGTGATGGACTACGGGGTGTCCTGCCCTATTCAATTTGTACATCTGAGAAGAATTATCACAATAAGTCAAGTAGAGCACTTTTCTTTTGAAATAAAATTGCAGATAACTTCAAATAAATGTAATGCTAGTTACCATAACAATGTATAGAAAAAAATAAGCTATGTGAAAGGCATTCACTATCAGGCTGGAAGCTCTTCCAGAAACTATTAAGGAAGATTATTGATGAAGTAATTGGCAGTATTTATATATGTCTGTGTTGAATATCTAGAGGTGGTTGGAGGATGGATGGCAGTTAATGGATTGAGGTTGAATCCCAACAAGACAGAAGTGCTGTTTCTGGGGGGCAGAGGGTGGGCAGGTGTGGGGAATTCTCTGGTCCTGAATGGGGTAACTGTGCCTCTGAAGGACCAGATGTGCAGCCTTGTAGTCATTTTGGACTCACAACTGTCTGTGGAACCACAGGTCCTTTCTGTGTCCAAGACGACTGTTCACCAGCTCCAACTGGTGTGCCACCTGAGACCCCACCTGTTTGCCCACTGCCTCACCATAGTGGTAGATATCCTGTTTATCTCCTGCTTGGACTACTGCAATGTGCTCTATGTGGGCCTACCTTTGAAGGTGACTTCAGAAACTACAACTAATCCGGAATATGGTTGCTAGACTGGTGACTGGGAGTGGCCGCTAGGACCATATAGCACTGGTCCTTAAAGACCTACAAGGTGTTGGTGTTGACCTTGGAAGCCATTAACAGCTTTGGCCCTATATATCGGCAGGAGTCTCCACCCTTCATTGTTCAGCTCAGACACTGAGGTTCAGCTCTGAGGGGCTTCTGGTGGTTCCCTCACTGTGAAAAGTGACGTTACAGGGAATAAGGCCGAGGGCATTCTCGGTAGTCACGCCTGCCCTGTGGAACACCCATCAGATGTCAAAAGGATAAATAGTTAAACAGCCTTCTGTAGACATCTGAAGCCTGCCCTATATCAGGATGCTTCTAATGTGTGATGTTCTCTTGGGTGGTGGTGGTGGTGTTTCTGTATATTATGTTGGAAGCTGCCCAGAGTTGCTGGGGCAACCCAGTCAGATGGGCGGGGTACAAAAAATAAATTATTCTTATGTATTTTTCTGTAGTTGAACCAGTCGTGAGCCTAAAAAAGGGACCAAATGCTTTAATTGATGGTGCCAATCAGACACTTGCCGCAATTTGCACAGCAGCCACTGGAAAACCAGCTGCAGAGGTTCTCTGGGAAGGTAGTCTTGGTGAAATGGAATCCACTTCAACTTCATATCCCAATGAAACTGTGACAGTGGAGAGTAAATACAAACTGGTCCCCACAAGATTTGCTAGAGGAAGGCATATAACATGTGTTGTGAAACATCCAGCCTTGGAAAAGGAGATTAGAATGGTGTATGTGCTTGACATTCAATGTAAGTAAGTTGCAATACGTTCTCTGTCCTCATCACTTTGTCCTCTAAAAACATTTCATATTGCAAGTGATAGGATATCTTGTTGATATCAAATATTTCCAGGCTTTAAATACCTTTAAATGGTTCTAAATAGCCTTTGACTTAGACCTTACCCTTTAAAAATAAAAGCCCTGGGTTGGGAACAAGGAGGAATGTTGACATATGTTTCCTCTCTCAAGTCATCCTATCTTGAGAAGTAGCTAGTAGCTAGCAATTGCTCTTTTCCATATTCTGATTTGGGTCCCATCCCAAGGTAACTTGTGATTTATTGTTCTGCCATATTTATCATGTGGCTTCTCCCAGAAATATCTTGATCAGGTTGCTTAAATGGTCAGGACCATTGCACAGCACATTTGAATTATTCCATAGTAACATCTTAATCTTGTCGTTACTGGCTATATAAAGTCAAATAGGAAATAATTATGTATTTCACACTCTTATTTTGGGTCTTTGAAGTACCAAAACTTCAAGTTACATATAGACTTAAGAGTTTATATGTAACTTGAAGTTTTGGTACTTCAAAGACCCAAAATAAGAGTGTGAAATACATAATGTGTTAACTTTAAGCTACAGGGTGCCCTGGGATAACAGCAGTTATCTGGGGTGGTGGATCAATTCAGGGAGTGCATTGCAACCATATTCTAATTAAATTCCAGGTTAACTGAAATTGATAACCTGCAGGATAGTTTCCACTACTTAATGCTTATTTATTAGAATATGTTCCTGACAAATACATTTTGAAGTTGTATATATGATCTGTACAGATAACGTGCAATAAATAGTATCTAATTTAGATGATGTTAAACGTGTTGAGAATGTTAAGATGGTTTCTCAACAGCCCTCTTATTGACAATTTCACTTAAGAATGTTCCTTAATGGAATCAAATGTATTATGTCCAAATTCTATTGACGGTGCAGGTTGACAATGATGGCAAGCGGGCAGAAGGTGAAATCTGGGTAGGTTAGGTATTCATTAGAAGCTAAGAAAATAATTTAGATGGGGACTGTTTAAAGTTGCTATATTCCACAAAGTCTTACTTGATGGTTTTCCATAGTAGCTTACGTTTATATATGTTTGTAGATTCCCCCGAGGTTACAGTGACTGGGTATGATGGAAACTGGTATATCGGAAGAGAGAATGTTTTACTCAGGTGTAATGCTGATGCAAATCCACTGCCAATGGAGTTTACATGGAGTCGGTAAGTTCTTGTTTAATTCTGGCATTCATAAAAATGTAAATATTTTTCAATTCTGAATCTTAATTTCTTAAATATGTATCAGTCTGTGAACGCTATGTTGCAAATCGTTAATTCAAATTGTAAAGTTAAGGAATTAATTACCATCAAATGTGGTAGTAGCACTTAGCATACCTGACTTCTTTAAAGGATAAGGCCAATCCAAGGAAAATAGGTTATTCAATGGCTATTAACCATAACAGTTCAAAATATTCATCTTGAGTGGCAATATACCTCTAATTTACCAGATGCTTGGAGCAAATAGTGTGTGGCTGTTTGAATCTTCCAGAAGTACAGTGGTACCTCTGGTTGCGGACGGGATCTGTTCTGGAGCTCCAGTCAGATCCTGAGGTTTCCACAACCAGAGGGAGTGCTTCTGCGCATGCGCGCACGGTGAAACCCAGAAAAATACTTCCAGATGTGTGCGTATCCAGAGGTACCACTGTATCTGACTGGTCACTTGAGGGGAGGGTCAGAATTGTAGATTAGTTGACTCCTTGGTCTGTTCTAGCAAGACAAATATTTTAAGCAGCATATTTATCACAACTCAAAGCTTTCAGGGAGAATGCAACACTGGTTTTCACAGAAAAAACCAGCTCCTGCATATGCTAACAGCATAAGAGAAAGACACAATTTGAATTATTTATGAATAAAATAGTATGCTTTATTGTTAAGTAGTAATACATTGCCACATTGAATTTATCAACAGGCATAACAGGCTTCAGTATAAACTGTAGAATAGTTTTTTTTGCAGAATGATCTATTGATTTTATGTATAGCAGGTTTGGAGACTAGATGGCTTTTTGAAATTCTGCAAAGCTGCTAGTATTTTGTTGGAGGATTGCCTGTCATGATTAATGTTAAACACAAATGCTGCAATTGATTAACTTTGGGCGACAGTTATAATTGATTCAGAAGTAATCTATGATCTATTATTTCATGGTATAAATATACAACAGAGTAAAATGTTGAATAAAATTTTAAAAAGTTGCATCATGTCCATAACTAGTTAATAGCTGCCTTGTATCATTTTAAAGATAATTTTATTTTAATGTCATTTTATGTATAATCAATTTAAATGTAGTTTTCATCTTAATTTGCTTGCTCTGCAAATTATTTGAAGTTAAAATGCTCTCTGAAACTACAGTCAGTATATTTGTAGTAATGAAATCACCACTACAAATGCAGTTCCAAATATAGCACAATGGAAGATTTCTTTCTTCTTTTTTTTAAAGGTCCAAACGTGTCCTATTAGAGGAACTGAGTTTGGATGTTAGTAGTAGCGACCTATACTTTTTTCAATTCTTCTGCCTCTGATTTTGAAGCAATTCAAACCATTCTTTTGAAACTTGAAGCACCTTGTATTTTCATTGTCACTTTGGAGGATAACTGGCTTAAAAGCTCCCCTTTTATGCTGATTGGGCAGCTCTAGGGACCCTGTTGCAGAACAATAACAGTTCTTTGACCACCACCCCCTGCAACTTTGGATCACAACAACACCGATCTTAAGGTGAAAAACACTGTCCATAACTGAAGACAGAAGATGAAGTGATATAAGTATTTAAAATCAACACTGATCAGGAGCATATAACTCTTTAATCAGTAGGCTCTGCCCTCCTTCAGGCAGGCCTACATGTTATTCTTTCCTTGTGACCTGGCATTTGCCCTTTTCCTTTATGTTAGGCTGTGCTGTGTACATACCATACTTTTAAAGCATATGGCTTTCCCCATAGTTTCCGCTCACAGGGCTACAGTTCCTGGCAACCTTAACAAACTCCACTTCCTAGGATTATTTGGGGGAAGTAATGCACTTTAAATATATGGTGTGTACACAGGCTCACATTAATGGAGACCAGGTCTAGTTTAGTAGGTGAATTAAATGATGATATGCCACCTTTGTGTACTGCTTGCATGCAGCAAGAAGAAAATATAATTAAATGCTCTTGAGAAGCCTTAATTTCTTCTTCTGTTGCATTGTGGGCAAGGTACTTTATTACTGAAGATGATATAGCTTCACATCCTGTAATCTTGCTGCAGTTGATCTTATTACATATCTGTTAAACATTGTTAACAAGACATTTAACATTTTTACTGTTGTAGTAGTTTGGTTTGAATTAAAGTGTCGGTAACCAAGTAAAAGATTTTGAACCTGCTTCTGCTATGTAGCAAAATTCTGCTTATGTTCTGTTTATGTTCATGGTGTTTACGTGAATATATACAAATGTGAACAGGTAACTTAAATGGGGGTGGGAGTGGGCGGTCCTTGGGTGCAACTAGTTAAGAGATTTAGAATGCTCTGTTCTCTCCTCTCCCTCAGTTTTGTCAGTGTGCCATGTACCTCAATGTATGAAGCAAATAAAGGATTTACACTTCTGTGCTGAACTTGCCAAAGATATGCATGTATACTTATAGAATAATTAACTCAGACTGATTGAGTTGTGATGCTACATTGGAGGTATTGTGAGAAATTTAAATAGCACCCCACATCCACTCACCATTGCCATCTGATAAGCTGCTGGCTTGCTCATATACGAAAAGGGCCCATCAATTGGCACTTTACTGAAGGCTCTCCCAATTCTGGAGCCAACCCTAGATGAGAGAATAGCAGCTTTGTAGCTAATATAACTGGCATGGAGGTACTGAGTAACACTGATGAGTTTTCTGTAGAGGTTGAGATGAGGAGCTACGTACGTGTATTCTGTACAGCATAAAAAGTAACTAAACAATAGTCATTTAGATTATGCTTTATGTAATATTATATGAATGAATTATATTAATATTAAATGACTTAATTGTGTGATGTGAGATGATTGACCAGAATTTAATATACATTATTTGAAATGGGCATAAGGCTAAATTGGTGTATGGACACCTAATGCTAAGCTCAGCACCCTGAGAAGAGAATTGTTTTAATACCAAATTTGACATTGTACACATCGCACCAATATTTTAAAGTAAATGACTAGCTCTTAGGAGTATGACAAAGTCTCAATGTTTGTGGCAATGTCTGCTGGGATCTTAGAAGTCAGTACAGAAGTTGAGCAGAATTTCAGGGTGTCAAAACATTGTATATTTCTTTGTATGTGTTCATGATTCTCACAGTTGCCTATCATGGAACTCTGTTTTGGAAACTGAGGGAAGAGTGTGTTACTGAAACCTAAGACTGTTCAGTGGTTCTATATTAATTTTAGAATATATGAACAAAATTACTGCTGAACTCCTTCAGTTCTCATATTAAATATAATTGTGAAATTCAGTTTTTTATTCCTCTTACTTTGAGATACTCTGCACATGAACTTATTTGCTTCTAGAGAAGGAGAACCTCTTAGCTATTTAAAATTATCTGATTTGAATAAAATATTATATTTGGAAGACTCAAAAATGCCTCTTTGTGATTCAGGTTGGATCGACATTGGCCTGAAGGTTTACAGCCTTTAAACAATACTCTGCATTTCAACAGTCCATTGACATATAATTATACTGGAACTTATGTTTGTACAGTGGCTAATCCACTTGGTCAAAAAAGTGATCAAAAGACTATCTACATACTAGGTAAGTCACTGGGTGTTTTTTTCTTCAGTATTTGAACAAACTTCTTAATGAGAGGTCAGCAATATAATGGTCATAGTGTGTTATTTATTGTTTCATTTTAACTATTAGCTTGAGAGAACATCATCCAGTTTACTTAAAGTTCCTTGTAAGAACATTTCTATTGCATGGGATATATATTATATAAGCAAAAATATAGGGATGTATCTGCACACAACGCTGACAGAAATAATGGTTGGCTTTATAGTATCTGGAGCGTCAGGACTTTGGATTAGCTTTAGGAACACAATTTTGTAAAGATGATTGACATGACATAATCTAGTATGATCTTTGAAAGCAAACCAGTACACTTTTCTTTACTGTTGACACAGCTGTGGTTGAAATCAGAAGTTGGGGAAATGAAGTTTTAAGCAGGAGTTTTAAATGTACTTAACAATAATTTAAGGTAGTGTTGTGGGCTGCGGATTGCCAGTGGGCGTAGCCTTGGCACAACAGCCCATCTAGTGCCTCCTTACTTTTCTGCCCCCTGGTCTTTCTGTAACTGAGACCAGCAGCTCACTGCATGCACATGTTTAGACGTAAATGACGGCTAGAGAATGAAGCTGTGGCATGCACAAAAAGGGAAGGAGAAGAATGAGTGGGCTGACAGGCTGGCTGTATGTATGTGAGAAGGAGGAGAGAGAACAGGAAGAAGGGAGGCAAAAGGAATGGACAGATGGAGACAGAAGCCTTCTGGGAACTTCATTTCAACAGTGCTTGCATCCCATTCCTCTTGTTCCCCACACAGTCTCCTACCAAGTGATGATGACCTCCTGCCTAATTTGTGGCAGTAGAAGAGCAACCTCTCATTGACATATAATGAGAACTGGAGAGCCTGTTTGTGTGTGCGTGGCCACAGGAGGGTGGGAGAGCAGGTGGGCCTGAGAGAGCAGGGAACTGAAGAGTTTTTTGGGGGGGAGGGATGTAAGAAGTAGAGTCCTTCAAAAATCAGTTTTGCTATGTGTGCTTTTAAATTTGTTCACAACTGACCTGGAATTAGGTTAGGGTAAGCAGTGAGATAGCCTTATTTACTGATAATACCAAAGGGTTCAAGGAAGTTAAGAGAAAAAGAAATTGTGAGAAGCCACAAAAAGGATGAATTCTTACCGTGTGAACATGATTTATGAAAAGATCTATACTTCGAAGTGCTGAAAAATAGATGGTAGACCTGCAACAGTCGCATTGTTCATTCTTTTAAAAGCAAACTTGATATGAACATTCAATTACAGTAGGGAAAAAAATGAAAACTTGTTAAAGTTAGGGTTAAATTTTATCCTTTATATAAGGATTTCCTGCAGTCTGACTTTCACTCTTGATCTTCTCAAGAAGCAGATATATGTTCTTATGTTTTATGTACAATGCAATATCTAAGTCCATAATGGGACATTATTTGTATGTTTGGTTATTTATTTATTGCTCAAGGTAGCATACACAATTCTTCCCATTTTATCCTCATAATACCCCCGTGAGGTAAATTAAACTGTAAGTTAGTGAGCGGCCAGCCCAAGGACCTCCAGTGATCTTATTGGCTGATTGAGAATTCAAACCCTGGTCTCCGCAGGCCCTAGTTTGGCAAACAAACCATTAACACCACACTGGCTATCTTGTTCTAAATGTTACAGTCAGCATCCTATGCAACATATAACAGCATCTATTGCATTTAACAGAAAATCTTCACTTTCCGTTGTTTAAGAGATAAATGTAGTTACTTTGCCCTAAAACATCAAATCTTACATGTTCAAATTCACGTTAGTCATTAATATTCCAACTCTTCCTAAGTTATATGTTTACTATTCTCTGAGCTCAATGACTGGCATTTGGATTTTGTACTCCAGTGCATGCCAACCTCTTTTTTCAAACAGTCATATTTTGGCAGGTCACACTTTTGCACATTCACAGGTTGCTGGATCTCAGCATGGTCTCAGGTACTGATAGACCATGCAGTGTCTTGTGTAAGACTTAGGCTAACTCAAGCTATTTTGGAGGTTATTGGCCTGAGCTGAAGCATTTGACAGTGTCTTATGCCTAAACAAAGCATTAAACGTACAGACACAAATCTATGCCATCTCATAGATGTCACTCTTCTAGAGGTGTGGGTTTATGATTTGTAGTAAGTCAAAGCTGCTTGTGGGAGTGGACACCCACTATTGTTTATTGATTTCTACAGTGGCATGGTGGTGCCATGCTTGGAAGTTATTTGCACCCAAATGAAGTGTTGAATCATGCATGTTATATCTATATGTAAATTCCTATTGATTATTCACATACATTTTTTTCCTTTAGATAAATCGTTCCTATTAAGTATTGGGTCTTTTTGCTGCTTATTTAATTGTATTTGAACAGAAGTCATGTGCAATAATGCATGGGTTCTCATTATATGAAGTTTTGAATTTGGAGTATGTTAAAGTTAAGGGGGTTGGGACCATGGAAGGTCCTGTATCAGCAGGGCTTGAAGGAGAAGACTGAAGGAAAGGAGTTGGCTTGTGAGGAATAGAAAGGAGAAGAGTCTTTGAAGGAAGTTTATAGGAAGCAGCTGTTGAAGGCAAATTCCAGACGGGTAGCAGTCTGCTACAACAAAACCAGTCTTTTACACATTTAGAGACAAACAGATTTATTTTGGCATAGGTTTCATGAAATAAAACTCATCAGATGCACCAGGTGTCATCCTTGGTTGGCAGATATACCTGTCAGCTTGTAATGGGTAGAAAGAAAAATAATAATCAACAGTGGGGCCGAAAAGCCATGAAGGAAGGTCGAGAGAGGGGTGCTGTACATAGACTTACTTTCCTCTATTCTTCCCACTCCTCAATTTATCTGCCGTCTTACTGGGACAGTCTAGAGCAGCCCACAAGCTTCAGGTCCCATCATTCCTCTGCCCTCTAGCATCTAATTCTGATGTGACCTTGAAAGAGGGAGGGATTAAAAGAAGAAGAGGAAGCCACCAAGCCCCTTCCATTGCCACAGCTTTGGCCAGTTTGGCATGTCTTGGCCTGGGATCATGGAAAGCCTCAGTAGCCACTCCCTCAACAATGCTCCCTGTCTCTCAAGTAGTGTGGACAGAAGGTCCTCTGATTGCCTACTCAGGCCCATGGTGTGCTGCAAATAAATTATGTTGACTGGATTGGTATACTGTAAAACAGGTGTGGGATGGAAGAGGAGGAGGAGGAGGAAAAAGCTCCCTGACAGCACCCTGATCAAACGGCAACCTGATTTTCAAGTCAACAATTTCAGCATGTTTCCAGATTTCCCCCCTTTTCTTTTTAGCCTGGTGATACTTCTGTTTCGGAAAATGATAGAAACTAATTAAATCTTTTTCACCTACCTACTTCATACAGGATCAGAGAACTTTATTCACTCCTTTTTAAACTAAACATCATTACTCTAGATCAGGGGTTCCCAAACTGTGGTCCATATAAGAAAAAGTAGCAATTAAAATATGATTGGAAATTATACAGCATTTAGCACAGTGCATTACAGTTGCTACAACAAGGGGGGGGGGCGAGATCATGAAGTTGTCTACCAAGACACTCGGCAATTTTCAAGTGGTCCGTTGGAAGAAAAGTTTGGGAACCACTGTTCAAGATCCCTATGTTCATCTATGTAGTATCCCCATTTTACAAATTCCTCTCCTTTCTCTTGTTCATTTAATGTACTTAATATATACATAAAGAATTAAACAACTCATTGATGAAAGTGAGTGAATTATGTTACTTAATGACAAGTGGCATAATAGCAGTAGCATAGACCTAATATTAGTAGAATTTTTTGAGAAAATTGGTTTGTTATACAAGCATGTCAAAAAAGGCTATAAAGATTATATTATGAAAGTTACTGTTCATAGTATTTTAGGATTTAATTGGATTATTCAGTGTATAGCCAGCTAAAATATAATAATAATAATTATTAAAATTACTTAGATTGTATTTCAGTCTTCTAGATTCTGTCTACTTAATTAGCCAACACAGCTAATAATTTATTTGAAGAAGTAGTCTAAACGTTAACAATAACATTTCATGAATAGCCTCCTCCAGTGGGCCATTAGTTTTTAAAATAGTTTTAAAAAATAATTAAATATTCTAAACTGTCTCCTACCCTTTTTTATATCATCTAGAATCCACTTGATAAATGTGAAGTATATTAATACTATTATATTTAGGATCCAAAGAACACTACTTTATGTATGTCCTAGGGTTTGGGCATGATGAGTAGAATTTTTTTGTTTCCTCTGACATATCCTGGGCTCATATCACAAGCAGCTTATGCAACTCAACACAATTTCAAGATCATTGCCATGTGAGACTGAAAAGGGACCCACTGTTTGTTATACACAGCTTCAGACTGTCTTGGGTACATAGAACAACTTTTGTTTCTTTAAGCAATTTCCTTATCATCCACATACAACAGTTTCCAATACCCAAATGTAGTCTTAAACACATCTTGCATAGTCAACCCTTAGCAAACCTGAGCAATACTGATGCCAAGTAAAGATTGTATGTGTTATTTGAGCTTTTAAGAAGTACCCATACCACAACAGAATAAACCTGCAACTTTAGGTGTCAAATATTAGAAGTTTCATTAGGTGCTTTTCATAGAAACTGAATGAATCATAGAATTGTAGTGTTGGAAAGGAACCCTTATTTTGAAATAAGAAACAAATTTCTTATGCTTTGATTTGTTCCACAAGTCCTTTGTTTTTTTAGAAGGTTCCTATTTTGATTAAAATATTTCTTTAGTACTAATGAGAATTTTGGAAGCATTGAAGTGCACAACAAACTTTTTAATGCTGCTATCTTTTAAAATCTTGTAACTATCAAATTGAATCCTACCACTACATACATGGTCAGGGGAAATGAAAATAATAAAGAACTAACTTCAGCATGTATCTTATAGTTTTTCATTCTCTAACAAAACTATATATAATACATTATTTCTTTCATTCTTAACTCTGCCTTGGAATATAAGAAAAGGTTGACTTTTCAGCTGATGACATTGATCCATGTTTGCTCTAAAACAGCATGGAAAAAATTGTTGATATTGTTAGAGTAAACTATTTTTTCATACTTCAGTAAGCTGGTCCAGAAGTTAAGTCTGCTCCCTCTACCCAGAGCAGGGGTCTGCAACCCGCGGCTCCGGAGCCGCATGTGGCTCTTTTACACCTTTGCCGCGGCTCCGGGGCGGATACTAGCGAGGGGAGGAGGCGCATTGTGTGCCCCGACACTCCCCACTGTGGCAGGTGCTGTACTGGCTGTGACATCGCATGGGGGCGGTGCGAGCATTAGTTTTGTGGCTCCCAGTTTTTTTTCCTTCGGAAACGGGTCCAAGTGGCTCTTTTTGTCTTAAAGGTTGCAGACCCCTGACCAAGAGTAATGAAATTAAATGAAGAATGAAAAACTATGTTGAAGTACACTTACTTACTCATCAACTGTGCTTTCTTATCAGCTCTTAACTTAATTTAGTTTGCATTGACATTCTCTGCCTTTTCTGTGTCTTGTGTATCTCTGCTCTTTCATTAGATCCTCCTACTACTACCACTTCACCACCCACGATTCCATGGCTTCCTTCAACTGATGGCATCACAGGTTTAGCAACTCAGCCAAAACTAAAGCTTTTTCCAACATCACCATGGCCAGCAATGCAGGAAGACAATTGGGGCACTATCATCGGTAGTGCAGTGGGCGGGGCTCTTTTCCTGATATTTGTATGTGTCTTGGCTGGAGTTATCTTGTATAGGAGAAGGAGGACGTTCCGTGGTGACTACTTCGCCAAGAACTACATTCCACCATCAGATATGCAAAAGGAGTCCCAAATAGATACCCTCCAGGTAGAGGATGTGGATTCTTACCCTGACAGTGTGAAAAAGGAAATAAAACATCCTGTAAACAGTCACATAACTAAAGACTACTTGGGAGAATCTGAAAAAACAGACTGGAACAAAGTAGACACTATTAACAGGTACCAGGACAGGTATGAAAGACCAATGGATTACTATGAAGGTGGAACACTGGGAATGAAATACTTAGGTGAAGAATGTTATGAAGAAAATGAAGATGACTTAGTTTCACATGTAGATGGCTCTGTAATATCTCGAAAGGAGTGGTATGTCTAAAGACCACCTTCAAGTCTTGACTATACATAAAGCTCCTTCATTAGCTGATCACTTTCAGATTGTTTATACTTTTTCTTGAGGAATAGGTTTTTGAAGTTGATTTTCAAGCTTTTTATATTCTAACTTGACAATTGAAATGTAAAAACCTCATTTAAATGTATTGAAGCTGCTTTATTATTTTTTTCAATGCTGTACTACTGTCTTTCACAAGATATGAATTTTAATATAGTGCTTTATTTGGCCTATAGCACAAGATAACCAAGTGCTAAGTGGAAAAAGAAATTGTTATAAAAAGTTTGAAATGAAGCAACCGTCTTTGCTTGTGACTACAAATTTATGATCAAGACTTACCTTGATAGTACTTTTTGATCCATAATTCTAGTAAACAGTAACATGAAACTGATTCAAGTACAGAGCTGATCTAAGGTACACTTTGTTTACAAAAAAATTTATGACATGAAATATTCTGATGGCACAGTTTTTTCAAAGCTTTATTTTTAGGTTTTCTGCACAGAATTTAATACCTCTACATTTTTGAGCCTTGCCATTTAGATACTGTAGTAGGTGGTACCTTTTACAGATGACTTGTTGCACTGAACCTGCTGCAATAGACTTTTCAATGAATAAAGTCTTGCAGCATAACAGGAACTTATATTTTTACACTGCATTTTATTTCCAAGCACTGGGATGTAAGATTCCAATCACTTCAGTTTTGTTTCCAGACTCATCCTTTCCAGAAGATCTATTAAATGTTATTTCAATACGATACAAACAGTTTACCCTACCTAAATGGGAAAAAGTAATGTTCAGGAAATATTAGGTTTCCATAACATTAATTAAGCACAGAGCTACAAATGCATTGAGTTGAAACCCAGATGCAACTTCTGTATTTGAATGGAGATGCATTTTAAGAAATAAACTTTTGGCTTTTCACAGAATTTGATGGTACAAGAAGTATTTGGACTGTCTAAAGACATGTTGGCTAAAAAGCAGGGAAGCATTAAATGCAGGAGCAAATTTAGACTTTGTAAGCATTTGTCACTATGAAAAGCATGGCATATTTTGAAAGAGAAGGATGAAACACTTTGGCTTAAACAGAAAATATACTATTATGGTATATTTCATATGAGGCATTTTGAGAAATTTCTGCTGCTTGAAAAGAATTGGAGTAGTGCAGTAAAATTACTATTAAAGTAAATTATTAATTAATAGATGGGAGAAACAAATATATGTAAGGAGGGATTTTCTCTGAAGGACATAGGAAATAGAGGCAACTGTGTTGTTTAAAAATACATCTCACATATAGGCTTTAGAATACCTAGTTGGTTGTGTAGAGAATATAGCACAACCAATAGGAGCCCATCATACTTGCTTAGAAGCAAATCCCATTGAAAATCTTACGTTCAAACATGCTCAAAACTGAAAAGGTAGATGAGTGTTTGCTTCAATAAAAACTTCTTTAAAACACTTGCATATGAAGAATTAGATGAATTTGGTAGCATGTGTACAGACAATATTAATGCTTTTTAGCTTCCCAGTAAAAACCTTGGAAGTAATATGAGCACATTACATAATGACTTGCAGTATTTTAGAGCTTTTCAGTCAGTACAGTATCTGTATTAAGGTGCAGTTTTGACAGCACACTGTGACTTGGTTGCTATGTCTTCAGAAATGTGACTGCAGTTGAGTATAAATACATGAAACAGGTTTTCTACGCGTCTCTATCACATTGATAATTTAAGTGGTAACACTATTTTACTTCACCAAAGTATGTCTTCAGTACATTTGGAAGTAAAATTATTAAACCATGCTTGCCTGTGAACTCAAGTGAGTTTCAATAATTGCTTCATGGATCTGATCCATCAATGGCTGAAGTTCTTACTTCAGTTAGCTTTTGATCAGGCCACAAGGTAGCAGGTCCTAATTTGTGTGTGTGTGTTGTTGTTTTTTTTAAAGCTAGCTCATGGTCTTAGGAACATCTCCATTGTAATGCCATACTTTTCTGTAAGCCCTCTAGAAAGCTTTCTTGTAACACTCAAATTTAGAAGCAAGTACCTAATATTCTGTGTTTTCAATATAAATTTGTTAAAATTTGATCAAGAGCTTTACAGTTTAAAATGAAGAGGTTCATACTAGGTTTAAGATGTTCAGTGTTGCAGTGTTTTTACCTAATGTATGTTTGGTGTAAATACAGAATTGATTGTAAGTATGAATAGTTGTGTGAAATAAATCTTTTGTTAAATTAATTTCTTGAATGCAGGTCATATGCACAAATGATGGAAAGGCATATAAAATGTAATAGAGGTTAGATTTGTGGTGAGGAAACAGGTAGACTAGAAAATGAGAGCTGAATACAGAAAAAACTGTTGAATTAGTACTTCTATATAGCATCTGAAATACTTAACTATATTGGTAAAAGTGTTCATAGATTACTTACTAGTCAACATAGCTGTCCTTGATGACAGATTGTACATTTTGTACTCCATAGTCTAGGTAAATTGCAGAGAAAGCTGTAAGGCTACACTTAATTTTTAGCTGCAGAAAGTTTGGTCTGCTGTTTTGCTTGAAGTTGCCAAATTATTTTACTCTGTCAACTATGGAGAAAAGTTGATAATGATAAACACAAGACTTGAGTTGGTCTTGCCTTCAGATGACTCTACACATATAAGAATCCCCAAACAAATAGAATCCATACACAGTACAAATATGGATTGTGCCCAGTGTATTTTGTAGTACTATTTCTCAGCATGTCCAGAAAACATTTGCTGCTGTAGCCACCAACATGCCTTTAGTGTTTATATACAAAGTAGCTATCATTGAGATGATCCTTGTTTAAAATCAAATGAGCCAGCACAAGTTGATTTCCAGAATGAATGAAAAACGATTGCAGCATAGCATAAACAGTTTGAGTTTTGTGAGTTGTATCAGCTGGGAGAGAACCTAATGCATAGCTATGTATGTATGCTTTGTGATGAAGATTGTATGCTTGTGTGATGAAAGCATATGTGCCTATTTTGTCAATGCTGCTAAATATATGTATACTTTGGTGTTCGTTGGATTAATAGCTTGGGAGTCATTATGCAGTAGCAAACTTCCAGACACTCATTCTTTGCCAGTTGGTTGTTGCGCATTCCATTCTTCCTGAGAAGAGCTGATTTTGCAGCTTGCTAATGATTCCCAGGCAGTCTCCCATTCACGCAGTTTTCAGAGTCAATTCTATGTAGCATCAGTAGAATTGCATTGTGTGCCTTCAGACCATTCTTTGGGCTGCTAAGTCAAAGAACTCAGTTGATAGTATTCTGCAGTTTGCAAATTACATTCAGTGTGTAATAAATCACAAGTCCTCATGAATATCGATATTGAGTGTGAGAAGTACTGATTGTTCAGTTGGGAAATAGATTGGAAAGGGAAGGTGTGTACCAGATAAGGGCAGATCATACTTAATATTCATATTTGCCATGGGTGAACAGGCTTTCTTGGGTAGGGGAAATGCAGTAGTGTGGCCCAAGTGAGCTTAAGTTAGATCCCCTGAAAGCAGTGGCCTTTTTCTTACTTAGTTTTTGCATTGGTTAGCCTTGGTTTCAATAAAACATTGTCTTGTATAGCTTGTCCCTGTATACATTTGTTGATGCAGGTGTGGATCTTTCCTCCAAGATGGAAAAAAAAAAGCAGTTTGGGGTGATAGTGTGAAAACTCTTGTACCGGGAATGGATTAAGAAGTACCCCACCTGTACCTTCTGCTTTGGATTTCATCCTCCACAGCCACATTTTGCAAAAGGGAAATCATAGGGACAAACTACACACCGTGTGTAGTTGAGACATGTATAAGTAATACTTTAGGTGGATTTGGGCCATTGGTATATAGACCTCCGAAGTCTAGACCTTTCCCCCTTGGAAATGATGTTATAGGAATGTGTGTTTTTTCCTATTCTTGCAGCTGTCTAAAGCTTTTCATGGCAGTGTTGCATGTTGGTGAAGCAAAAAGCTGTGCATGCATTCATCTATTCTGAGATATGATGGAGATAATGCTAAAGATATTTTCAAATACTTCTGAAATATTTAAGCAATGATTTGCACATACAATACAGGTAACACATTTCATGTAACAGAGTAACTGGGCAAGTAATTAACTTGCCACTAAAGGGTAACACTCTTATTGACCTGCCACTGTGGTCCACTTCTGCTATGATGAGTCAATTGTGAACATTTCTAATGTACCTGGTACAGTTCCTGATTTTCAACATGTCATTGAAAAAAGTTACAGGCCTTCAGATTTTTACAGAGATTTTGTTTGTGTTTTAAGTAAAATAAAACAATGTCTACTGATTTCTACAAAAAAAGATACAGCTAGCACATTTGATAGTAAAATTAGATAACTTCAGATATCGTTGTTTTGTCCTATCTCAGGGATATAGAATAAGCAAAGTTGCTTTGGTAAGTATAACTTCAGTAGCCTACGCTTTTGCATTCTTAAAGTATTAGATAACTATTTCTAAACCAGACGGAACTTTCAGTATAACTGCCATTTATTTTTGTATGTTGTTCTTATGCACAGTCTAAAAACAAATGGTTCTTTTTGTAGATTGAAATACAAAAGTTTGCTATGCTAAAAATTACTTTTCCAGACATTGTTAAAGGCATCTGTCTCAAATACTTAACGCCTTGTGAGTTAAGAATTGAAAATCATTTTCATGTCAACATATTTTGATTCCTCTTTTTTCATCTTTAAAATTTTAAGACTGTATGTTCAAATTCTGCCTTCAGCAATCATTTTTTAATATTGCATAGCTGTTTATGACACGCATGCAGTGGAAATGATAAATTGTAGATTCCACAACATGTTTAACTCAGAGGCAGCTAACTTTATTTCTTTTTCCTGAATTTGAGGAGTTTTGATAACGTGACTCATCGCTTGAAAATCATAATGCATGCTGAATTACATTTCAGATGTTCCATTTAAGCAGTCGTCATCAGTAGCTGTAGCTGGGGCTGTAATAGGAGCAGTACTTGCTCTCTTTATCATTACCATCTTTGTGACAGTACTACTGACTCCCAGAAAGAAAAGGCCCTCTTACATGGACAAAATGTAAGTTTTTTGCTTGTTTCTAAGCTGATATCCTTGCTTTCTAAAAAGCTTGAAGTGTTTACTCTCCCTTTTCTCATGCTATACCATTCTATTCTGCTTTAAGGCACAGTCCCTGTAGTGCTAATACAAAATGTCAGCATACACTACTCAAAAAATATATACCTAGTCTAAGAACTTTATACTATCACAAATTAAAAATTATTTGTGTTTCTAATGTGTTTATTTTATTTTTATTTAGAAAGATCTGTAGACTGCTTAATCACAAAACTCTGTAACCAAGTATACATTATATACTTATTGAAAAAGCACAGCTAAAATGATGCCATCTGCAACGATATCAGCAAAGGCTAATTGTCTGTTATTTGTAAAGTTTGGTTTTTATGTTTCTGTTGAATATGTTGGTGGTGGGTGGGTGGAACCCCTAAAATAATATTGTATACCTGCCTCTATATGTTGTACACCTAGACGTACAATAAAGGTGTTGTTAGGTTTAAGAAACCATAGTGCTTCCCTTTTAATTTCTCAATAGTCTCTTACTGGCTATTAAAAATCTAGCATCTTTCTGACATTCTTTATAGATATTCTGTTGGCTTTTAGCTTTAATTAAAAAAGAAAAAAAAATGAGTCTCGGTTTCCTGCTGGGTAGGTGTGGGTGTGGGAGAGATAAACATGAAGATGATCTAGAAATCATTCATAGTTCTGAACTTCATAGACTGAACTTACCGTAATTCACCTTCAGTTCATCCAGCAATGTTAAGCACTACTTTCAGAGATTTTGTAAACTAGTTCTGTGAACTTCATTCAGCTGACCTGAGGGTCATAGTAGATAGCTCATTGAAGATATTGAGTGAGTGTGCTAGTGATCATTAGGAAAGGAATAAAACTACCAATATCCTAATGCCATTATAGAAATCTCTGGTGTGGCTGCATTTGGAATACTGTGGACAGTTTGGGTCACCTCACCTCAAAATGGATATTGAAGAGTTGGAAAAGGTTCAGAAAAAGGGCAACCAAATATCAAGGGGATGGAATGATACCCTAATGAGGGAAGATTGCAGCCTTTGGAACTTCTTGGTTAAGAGAAAAGGCGAATAAGAGGTGACATGATAGAAGGTTGTAAAATCAGACATGGCATGGAGAAAGTTGCAAGAGAAAAGCTCCCCCCGCCCCCAATCATAAGACTAGAACTCCTCAACATTCAATGTAGCTGAATGTTGGAAGATTCAGGACAGATAAAATAAAGTACTTTTTCCATAGTTAAACTATGGAATTCTCCCCCCAAAGTAGCAGTGATCGCCACCAACCTGGATAGCTTTTAAAGAGAATTATACAAATTCAGGGAGAATAAGGCTGCCAATGACTACTAGCCAAGATGGCTATACTCCAAGGTTGGAGGCAGCAATGCTTCTGGAAACCAGTTGCAGGAAATTGCAGGAGGGGAGAGTGCTCTTGTGCTTATGGTCCTGGTTGCAGTCTTCCCAGGTGCATCTGTTTGGTCACTGGGCTAGATGGGCCACTGAACTGATCCAGCAGGGCTGTTCTTATACGATGTGCTCTGTTTCTCTTTATACAGGTAATGCCTGACAAATCTGTTGAGTTATTCAAACCAATGCCACTTAAGAATTTGTCACAAGTGGGATACTTGCAATTTTATATTAATGGCATTTCCAATTATATGACCAAGGAAGTTTCCATTTTACTTGTTTACAGCTGTAATCTACACTTGATTCAATTATTTCTCCAATAGTGGTGACTAAACTCCAAGTTTTCCAATGCAGGATTGATCTTCCACCAACACACAAGCCTCCGTGTTCATATGAAGAAAGAGCTCGTTCCTTGTCTCAGAAAGAAATAATTCTTCCAGTAAGTTATTGATGAAGCATACTTCCAAAGTAAAAGGATCTTTTAATGTTGCTTAATGCAAATTGATCTATTGAAGATATTCAGTTGACATAAGACATTATTTTGTTACTCAATTGATATAGTATATTTCTGCCAGCCAGACTTCTTAAGTAATTACACTAATCTATTTAATTCCCATATAAGGGTTTAATCAGGTTCTTGAACCTCAAAAGACTGTTAGGGGTTTATCCCAAGCTGGAGTCCTCTTTGAGAACGAACCTCAGATTGCATTATATATCTGAGTAAATGTATGTGTGT